GATGACCTCACACTTATCAACATTGTACTCCATCTGCCAGACCTTTGCCCGCTCACTTAGACTATCTGTATCCCTCTGCAGACTTTCAGTGTCTTCTGCACACTTTGCTCTACCACTCACCTTAGTGTCATCTGCAAATTTTGACACACCACACTTAGTCCCCAACTCCAAATCATCTATGTAAATTGTAAACAATTGCGGTTCCAACAGTGATCCCTGAGGCACACCACTAGCCACTGACCGCCAACCAGAAAAACACCCATTTACCCCTACTCTTTGCTTTCTACCGGTCAACCAATCCTCTATCCATGCCAATACATTACCTGTAATACCGTGCAACTTTATCTTACATAGCAGCCTTTGGTGTGGCACCTTGTCAAATGCCTTCTGGAAATCCAGATACACCACATCCACAGGTTACCCATTGTCCACCATGCAAGTAATGTCCTCAAAGAATTCCACCAAATTAGTTAAACATGACCTACCCTTCATGTTCCCAATGGGACAATTTATATCCAGATGTCTTGCTATTTCTTCCTTAATGATAGATTCAAGCATTTTCCCCACTACTGAAGTTAAGCTAACTGGCCTATAGTTACCTGCTTTTTGTCTACTTCCTTTTTTAAACAGTGGCGTCACATTGGCTGTTTTCCAATCTGCGGGAACCACCCCAGAGTCCAGTGAATTTTGGTAAATAATTACTAGTGCATTTGCTATTTCCCCCATCATCTCTTTTAGTACCCTGGGATGCATTTCATCAGGGCCAGGAGACTTGTCTACCTTTAGCCCCATTAGCTTGCCCAGCACTGCCACCTCAGTGATAATGATAGTTTCTAGGTCCTCACCTGCTATAACCTTCTTGCCATTAGTTTTCGGCGTGTTATTTGTGTCGTCCACAGTGAAGACCGACACGAAATAATTGTTTAATGTCTCGGCTATTTCCTCATTCCCAGTTATTAAATTGGCCTTCTCATCCTCTAAAGAACCAATATTTACCTTCGCCACTCTTGTACGATTTACATATTTATAGAAACTTTTGCTGCCTGTTTTTATATTCTGAGCTAGTTTACTCTCATAATCTATCTTACTTTTCTTTATAACTTTTTTTGTGCCTTTCTGTTGGCCTTTAAAGATTTCCCAGTCTACTAGTTTTCCACTAATCTTTGTTTTTTTGTATGTGTTTTTTTTCAATCTGATACTTTCCTTTATTTCCTTAGACATCCATGGCTGGCTCTCTCTTTTCCTACAGTTCTTCCTTATCACTGGAATATACTTCTGCCGAGCACTGTGAAAAATCGTTTTGGAAGTCCTCCACTGTTCCTCAATTGACCCACCATAAAGTTTTTGCTCCCATTCTACCTTAGCTAACTCCTCCCTCATTCCTTCATAGTCTCCTTTGTTTAAGCACAGGACATAGGTACTGGATTTAACCTTCTCATGCTCCATCTGTATTTTAAATCTGACCATACTGTGATCGCTCCTTCCGAGAGGATCCCTAACTGCGAGATCATTAATTATTCCTGTCTCATTACACAGGACTAGATCTAGGATAGCTTGCACCCTCGTAGGTTCCATTACATATTGTTCAGGAAATTATCACGGATGCATTCTATGAACCCCTCCTCAAGGCTGCCATGACCGGCCTGGTTTGACCAATCGATATGTAGATTAAAATCCCCCATGATAGTTGCTATACCATTTTTACATGCATTAGCTATTTCTATGTTTATTGCCCGCCCCACCACGATGTCATTATTTGGTGGCCTATAGACCACACCTATCAGTGACTTCTTCTCCCTGCTATTCCTAATTTCCACCCAAATGGATTCAACGTTTTGTTCAGTAGAACCTATATCATCTCTCACTACCGCCATGATATCATCCTTAAAAATCAGAGCAACACCACCTCCCTTTACCTTCCTGTCTGTCCTTCCAAACAGTTTGATACCCCTGGATATTTAACTCCCACTCCCCATCCTGTAACCACGTCTCTGTAATGGCCACTAAATCATACCCATTTGCCATGATTTGCACCGTCAACTCATCCACCTTGTTTCGAATGCTCCGGGCATTCAGATAAAGTGCCCTTATGCCAGTTTTTGCACCTTCTTTTTGGGTCCTATTACCTCCATTACTAACAGCTCTTGAGTTCTCCTTCCCTTTAACTTTTTTCCTAATTTTCAGTGGAGTTGAAGCTTCCTCGTCACCTGCTAACCTGCTGCTTTGCCTTACATTAATTGTTATTCTCCCTCTACGCTCACTTCTCCCTTCCCCCCTAATTACTAGTTTAAAGTCCTATTAACCACCCTATTTACCCTTTTCGCCAGAACACTGGACCGAGCCCTGTTCAGGTGGAGTCCATCCCAGCGGTATAGATCCCTCCTGTCCCAGAACTGATGCCAGTGCCCCATGAAAAGGAAACCCTCTTTCCCAGACCACTCTTTTAGCCACATGTTTACTTCCCTGGTCCTTGCCACCCTATGCCAATTTGCACGTGGCTCGGGCAGCAATCCAGAGATTATGACCCTTGAAGACCTGTTTTTTAATTTTGTTCCTAGCTTTTTATAATCCTGAAACAGGTCTTTTTCCCTAGTCCTGCCTATGTTGTTGGTACCTATGTGGACCACAACAACTGGATCCTCCCCCTCCCTCTCTAGTATCCTCTCAAGCCGGTCAGAGATGTCTCGCACCCTGGCACCGGGCAGGCAACACACTATGCGGGATTCTCTCCCCTGCTTGCAAAGAATACTGTCTATCTCCCTGATGATGGAATCCCCTACAACTACAATCTGTCTTTCTGCTCCCCCCTCTTGAATGGCCTCCTGGACCATGGTGCCACGGTCAGTTGACTCATCCTTCCTGCAGCCCTGTTCCTCATCCACACAGGAAGCAAGTGCCTCATATCTGTGGGACAATGTCAAGGGCTGCGGCTCCTGTGTTCCTGTCTGCAGGGTCCCTCTACCTGCCTCACTCGCAGTCACACACTGCTGTCCCTGCCCGCCGATCGAATTAACATTAGTTAATCTACCAGTGTGACTGCCTCCTGGAACACAGCGTCCAGATACTTCTCCCCCTCCCGGATGTGTTGCAGTGTTTGGAGTTCGGATTCCAGCTCATCAATTTTGAGCCGAAGCTCCTCAAGCAGCCAACACTTGCTGCAGATGTGGTCACTGCCGTTCTCAATGGGATCAGCTAGCTCCCACATCATACAGCTACAATGCATCACCTGGCCTGCCATCTCTACTTAGTTAATTATTTAAAATTAATTAGTTTTTTTTGCAGTTTTGTAGTGTTCTCTCCACCAGTAAGTTTACTCCGTTATATACTCAAACAGACTCCGGCTTTGCCTTCCGACCCGCTCCCAGAGGATTTGGCGTCTAGGTGACCCGAAAGATAACAAAGAAAGGAAAAAAAAATGCAAATAGCTTACCTGCTCACCACACTTAGTCGTTATTATTAGGTTAGAGGAGGTGGAAGGGTGGGAGACATGTAGTGTCTCGGGTATTAGTTAACTCCCAAATTTATTGGGTGGAAGCTTACCTTCCCAGGCTGCCCTCGCGCTTTCTCCCAGACTCCCGCCGCTGAAACAACTGAAAGGCCGCAGTCACGCGAGGTAAGACTTTTATAATCAAAAAGCTTACCTTTACCAGATGTTGTCTGGTTTGGGGGATTTTAGCTATGAAGAAAGGTTGGATAGACTGGGTTTGTATTCACTGGAACGCAGGAGGTTGAGGGGTGACCTAATAGAAGTTTATAAGATTGAGAGTGGCATGGATTGAGTGGAAAGTAGGAGGTTTTTTCATAGGATGAAGGGGTCAATTACTAGGGAACACAGGTTCAAGGTGCGAGGTGGGGGGGGTGAAGTTTAATAGAGATGAGTGAGGTACCATTTTCACACAAAGGGCGGTGAGTACCTGGAACACGCTGCCAGAGGAGGTGGTGGAAGCAGACACAATAGCAACATTCGAGAAGCACCTGGACTAATACACGAATAGAAAGGAAACAGAGGGATATGGATCCTGTAAGTGAAGACAGTTTTCATATGGAAAGGCAAAATGTGGAGGGCCAAAGGACCTATTCCTGTGCTGTACTGTTTTGTTCTTAATCCATACTGCCACTACAACTCCAGTTTAATCCTGGGCTCTGGTCCTGTTGCTTGATTCAATCTCTGACACACAATTTATTCAATGCCTTAACCTCCTCGACACCCCAGAACATCCCAGTTCCTCAGTCCCTCTCCACTAACCAATCCCAGTTCCTCACCTTCCGTCTCATAACCAATCTTCATCCTCCAACTTACTGCAAATTCCAGTTTAATCCTCCTTCCTGATTGGGTGTCTAAAGCCACTTTCCTCACTGCTCTCCCAGAGTCCCATCTCCGATAATAGGGAGTTCCACTTTGTAGAGTCCTACCCCTCAGACTGTACTCTCTTTCTCCGACTGGTGTTCCAAATGACCACGTGTTCCCTTTCCCTAAATCAGGTCATACAGTACAGCATGAAGGTAGAGACTGGGGTCTTTTTGCTCCAGGGTCATTATCAGTTAAGGCAGGCACTGAAATATCTAACAGGTTACTGGACTCGTGGTTAGTGACCATACCAGACTAGGTAATACTGACCTGACTTCCTGTGAAGCGGCATGGGGCCAGCACTGGAATCGTATCATTCTCGTACTTGAAGGAAACTCCACCAAAATGCTCACGAACCAGCCTCAGCACCTCATCATGCTGAACACCTGAGGAGACAAGCACAGCCTCACTGTAATTACCCAAAACACCTCTAAGGTTTCAGAGTAGATTTGTAGCTCAGGTTGTGGGTGTTGAGGTTGGTTGGCTTGCTGAGCTTGATTGTTGTTCCGCAGACGTTTCGTTACCGTGCTGGGTAACATCATCAGTGCAGCCTCTGATGACGTGTTGGTTTGTTTGTAAGGAGAACCACCAATTCGACTGGGACAACACCAAAATCCTGGGACAAGCTAAGCAGAGACAAGCACGGGAATTCCTAGAAGCCTGGTACTCCACAAAGAAAGCCATCAACAAACACATAGAACTCGACCCCATTTACACTCCACTACGAAGGAAAACCGGAAATGAGGTAATCCAGCTCAACAGACTCCAGAGTTTAAATAACAGGCGGGAAAACACACCGACATTTCATTGGAGGCTGCACTGACGATGTTACCCAGCACGGTAACGAAACATATGCAGAACAAGCCAGCTCGGCGAGCCAACCAACCACAACACCCAAAACACCTTCCCTCAGACACAAATTCCTCACCTTACAATTGTAATTATAGAAAAATACAGCAAGGGAGGCCATCCAGCCTCTTCTGTCCGTACTGGCCCTCCAGCAGAGTTATCCTGTTACCTACAAACAAGCAGCAGGAAGTAGGCCATTTGGCCCCTCAAGCCTGTTCTGCCATTCAATTAGATCATGGCCAATCTGACTGCAATCTCAAATCCACATTCCTGCCTATTCCCAATAAACTGCCAACCCCTTGCTCAACAAGAATTTACCTATCTCAGTCTTAAAAAACATTCAAGGACTCACCTTCTACCACCTTTTCAGGAAGAGAATTCGAAAGGCTCACATGCCTCAGCAAAAACCTTTGCCGCACCTGTTTGAAATAGGGGACTCCAGATTTTTAAATTGTATACCCTAGATCTAAATTTGTCCACAGGAGGAACACATCGCCCCACATCCACCCTGTTGTTTCAATCATCTCTTACTCTTCTGAACCCCAGATAATAAAAGCTTAGCCTGCCCAACCTTTCCTCATAGGAAAACACATACATTCCGGGTTTTCATCTGGTAAACCTGCATCTGCATACTAACCTTTTGTGATTACTGAACCGTGACACCCAATTCCATCAGCAATCACCCACAATTTAGATCATGTTTATCTTTCTATTCTCCTGCCAAAATGGACAATTTCACATTTTCCACATACTGTATTTGTCACATCTTTACCCACTTAGTCTCACTTCCATATTCTTTCCCCACAACTGTGAAATATTGTCTATACCACTATATATTCAAAACCTGTCCAAAGTTATTATTCAATCAGCTTCCATCGCCCTTTCAGGCAGCTTTTCAGGATCACACAACATAAAAATCTGTCCCCTACTGGTTACTGACCCTCCTACTATGGGAAAGAGTCTTCTTTACTCTGATCAAAACCTATCATAATTTTGAATGCCTCAATAAATGAAGTCTTAAACTTTCTTGTTTGAAGGCGATCCATGCCTGACTTTCCAGTCCATCCAAATAAATATACCCCTTATTCCTCACTACTGTAATACATCTCCTCTGCACCAACTGCAAGACCTCTATGTCCTTCCTAAACAGCGGTGCCATGGATTAACACAAACACCAGATGAGATTGCAGTTGATCATGTTCTCACCTCCTGATGCAGCCACGACTATTCTTGGAGCTTTGTAATGATTGCTCATGAACTCTACGAGATTGTTGCGACTCAATGACCTTAACAGCAAAAAGAAAATGCATTAATTATAAACAATCCCCATCTTGATATTTATCAGAAAGTTCAAAGGTTGCTTCACTAACATTAGAACCTCAATTCTGTAAAGGATTATGCTATTGGCACCAGTAGGTTTGTTCTCTGTTGCTAGAGGTCAATCATCCCAACTTCAGGACATCTCTGCAAATCATCCATTCAGAGATGTTACTATACACCACTGGAGCAGGTGGGACTTGAATCTAGGCCCTTTGGCCCAGAGGCTCAAATACTGTCATCGCACCTACAAGGGCCCTCATTTTCTTAGGATTGTGTCCTTTTCCCAACCATCTTTAGGTGCTTCAAAAATGACCTTCCCTCCATCATAAGGTCAGAGGCAGGGACGTTCACTGATGAATGCACAATGTTCAGCCCCATTCACAACTCCTTAGACACAGATAGTGAGAACTGCAGATGCTGGAGTCAGAGATAACACACTGTGGGGCTGGAGGAACACAGCAGGCCAGGCAGCATCAGAGGAGCAGGAACGCTGACGTTTGGGTCGGGACGCTTCTTCAGAAATCCTTAGATACTGAAGCAGTCCAAAAGATCTGCACAATATCCAGGCTTGGGCTGACAAGTGGCAAGTTTTTTTTATTCACTCATGGGACGTGGATGTTGCTAGCAGTCAGCTTTTATTGCCCATCCCTAGTTGCCTTTGAACTATTTGGCTTACTAAGGTCATTTTACAGGGCAGTTGTGAGTCAATCACATTGCTGTGGGTCTGAAGTCACATGTAGGCCAGACCAGGTGAGGATGGCAGATTTCTTTCTCTGAAGAACATTAGTGAACTGGATGGGTTCTTTCAAAAATCAGCAATGGTTTCATGGTCATTAGTAGATTCTTAATTCCCGATTTTCTCTTTTATTGAATTCAAATTCCATCATCTGCTGTGGCAGGATTCAAACCCAGCTCCCCAACCACATAGAAACCGATATTCATTTCAAGCCCACCGACTCCCACAGCTACCTAGAATACTCCTCCTCCCACCCACCTTCCTGCAAAAATGCTATCCCCTATTCCCAATTCCTTCGCCTCCGCCGCATCTGCTCCCAGGATGAGGCATTCCACTCCCGTACATCTCAGTTGTCCTCGTTTTTCAAGGACCGTAACTTCCCCTCCTCGGTGGTCGAGAACGCCCTCAACCGTGTCTCCCACACCTCCCGCACCTCATCCCTCACACCCCGTCCACGCAATAAGAACCAAAAAAGAATCTCCCTCGTCCTCACGTACCACCCCACCAACCTCCAGATCCAACGCATCATCCTCCACTTCCACCATCTGCAATCCGACCCCACCACCAAAGACATCTTTCCCTCCCCACCCTTATCTGCTTTCCGGAGGGACAACTCTCTCCGTGACTCCCTTGTCCGCTCCACACTCCCCTCCAGCTCC